CTCCCTGCTTGTGGCCTTGGAAAGCAGATGAGACGGCCCAAAGCCGTGGGACCCTGCACCCACGTGGGGAAACAAAGGAAACAAAGAAAGAAGGGAAGGGAGGAAGAAAGGAAGAAAGAAAAGAAAGGCAGGCCAGCTCCAGGCCTCGTGAACCTGCAGCGCCAGCATCTCATGCAGACTAGACTGAAAGCAGGAGCCAGGAACTCCATCTGGGTCTTCCCTGTGGAGAGCAGAGGCCCAAGCACTTGAGCCATTTTCTGCTGCTTTCCCAAGAGCATTAGCAGGGAGCTGGATCAGAAGTGGAGCAGGGTTCAGTGTTGCAGTGCAGTGGGTTAAGCTTCCACCTATGATGCTGGCATCTCCTGTGGGCACTTGTTCAATCCTGGCTGCTCTACAGCAAACCCAGCTCCCTGATAGTGCAACGGGGAAAGCAGCGGAAGATGGCCCAAGTACTTGAGCTCTCACATCGGGAGCCCATATGAAGTTTTTGCTTCAGCCTGGTTCAACTCTGCCTGTTGCAGCCATTTGGGAAGTGAACCAGCAGATGGCAGATGGCAAACACTGCAAATCTGTGTGTGTGTGTGTGTGTGTGTGTGTGTGTGTGTGTGTGTGTGTCTCCTCAAATAATCAAGCACTCTTTTTTAAGTAAATATTTGTTGAACTTTTTAAAAGATTTATCTATTTTTATTGTAAAGGCAGATAACAAGAGGAGAGACAGAGAGGAAGATCTTCTGTCTGATGATTCACTCCCCAAATGGCTGCAATAGTCAGAGCTGAGCTGATCTGCAACCAGGTGCCAGGAGTTTGTTTTGGTCTCTCACGTGGGTTTAGGGTCCCAAGGCTTTGGACCATCCTCAACTGCTTTCCCAGGCCTCAAGCAGGGAGCTGGATGGGAAGCGGGGCTGCCGGGATTAGAACCGGCGCCCATATGGGATCCCAGCGCTTTCAAGGCAAGGACTTAAGCCACTAGGCCACGGCGCCGCGCCCATATTTGTTGAATTTAATCAGAGGGGAAGAGTGTACCTTCTACAGATACATTCAGCCAATATGAAGGACAACATCATCCAATCCTGGGCAAAGGTTTGTGATGGAGGGAGCAGGGAATGGAAGGGAATGGAAGTGTGGTGTTGATACGGCTGGGGTAAGACAGAACCAGCCCTTGGGAGACAGGTGTGGGGATAAGAAGCAGGGCGCAGGATGAAACGAAGCCCAGAACCCAGGCCTCGTAGGACCCTGACATAACTGATTGCATCCGCAGCCAGTGTGTGATGGGTGACCCTGAGCTAATGAACTTCCCTGTGAAGACCTGGGGTCCCCCAAACACTGTCCAGCTCTTCTCTCCCACCCCAAGAATACCCATCTGGGCCCTAAACTAGGAGTGTCCAGGTCTTTCCAAACTGCATGGTGGGTCTTTCTTCCACTCAGTCTTACACTTCCTGGCACCATTTTCCACTCACACGTACGCAAGCGGCTGAAATGCAGGCACAAGTGTTTGACACAAATCCTTCCTTCTTTCTGAGCCGCAGCTGCCTCATCCACAGGATGGGACAGACAGGAGGTAGCTGGGGACTCCCTGGAGGTGACAGAATGACACAGGGGTCTGGGGCAGCTTCTCCAGGGAGCCCTGGGGAGAGATTGTCCCCACTGATACTTCTTTCCTTCTGGCTTCCCCATAGCTCTCAGCACAAGCCCTGAGATGGTCCAGGGCCCTCTTCCTGGGGGGGATGGGAAGCAACGTGTCCCACACAGCCACCGAGAGAAAGTGGGCTCTGCTCATTCCTGCCTCCTGATGCCGGTTACTCACACTGAGCAGGTGGCGGCTGAGTGCACTGGCGTCACTCCTCTCTCTGGGTCTGCCGGTGTGAGTACCAAAGCAAGAAGACGGAAAGCTTTTCAGGCACAGGAATACAGCCTTTCCCCTCCAGGGGCCGTCTCTCTGTCATCCCACGTGAGTCACAGCTCCAGGCCATGGTGACGTCAGGGGTTGAGGGAGGCGTCTCTCCCACAGCTCTCCTGAAACCATCTGGAAAGGGAAATAAAAAGTGATAAGTGGTAGGTCCCAAGAGGAGTCTTCCCACCAGGGGCCTGCATCGTGGCGCAGTGGGCTAATCTACTGCTTGTAATGACGGCATCCCAAATGGGCTCCAGTTAGAATCCCAGTGCTCCACTTTCATCACAGCTGCCTGATGTGGGAGACCCATATGCAGTTTCAGCTCCTGTCCCTCGTTCTCTCTCCCTCTAACCCTGCCTTGCTAATAAATAAAATGACAACAATTTTAAAAAGATTTATTTTATATATATAAACAGACAGAGAGGAGGAGAGACAGAGAAGATCTGCCATCCGATGATTCACTCCCCAAGAGGCCAGGACAGCCAGAGTTGCGGTGATTCGAAGCCAGGAGCCAGGAACTTCTTTTAGATCTCCCACGCGGGTGCAGGGTCCCAAAGCTTTGGGCTGTCCTCAACTATTTTCCCAGGCCACAAGCAGGGAGCTGGATGGGAAGTGGGGCTGCTGGGATTAGAACCGGCGCCTATATAGGATCCTGGTGCATTTAAGGTGAGGACTTTAGCTGCTAGGCCACCATGCTGGGCATGACAAATATTTTTTAAAAGATGTATTTATTTATTTATTGGAAAGGTAAATCCCTACCTATATGGGATGCTGGTGTTGCAAATGACTATATACTATATATACTATATCATGGTGTCAGCCCCTAAAAACATAACTTTTAAAAAGGGGCCTGCCTTGGTCTTGGCACCAAGCACCAGGAATCCATATGGGCGCTGGTTTGTGTTCAAGCTGTCCCACTTCCCATCCAGCTCCCTGCTTGTGGCCTGGCAAAGCAGTCGAGGACGGCCCAAAGCTTTGGGACCCTGCACCCGCGTGGGAGACCTGGAAGAAGCTCCCTGCTTGGCTCAGTCCTAGATCTTGCTCTCCTTAACAACTAGGCACACAGAGGGGAGTGGGAGAGGGTCAGCTTTCTGGGCAGGGGTGGTAGCTGGGCACATGGAGGAAGATAGGAGGGAGGTAGCTCTCTGGGCAGGAGGCAGTGGGGGCAGCAGGGCCGAGAAGGACCTTCCCCAGAGAAGCAGAAAGCAGGCCTGTGTGCCTGTGTCTTCACCTCCACCCCTTGCTCGGCTCGATCTTTCAGCGGGCCTCCACTTGTGCTCTGCCCAGCCAGCAAGGCCCAGGACTGCTGCAGGCCCCAGCCACGTTTGGGCCAGGATCCCATGACCCAGCTTTCATACCCACTGTTCGTGCGGATCGCACCTGCCACCTGCTCACTGCTCGATTTCGGCTCAGGTGCCCATGGCTGCCCTCAGCCTTGCTCCTGCACAAGCCATGGCTTTAAGGCCCACAAACCCTTCATTCTCGCAGCCCGAGCAGGAGAGAACCAGCTTCTAACCCAGCAGAACCAGCAGCCTGCTTCTACCCAAGCTTCTCCTGCCTCACATCCACACTGGTGGACACGCTCTCCTTCTAAACCTCCCTGTCATCCCCTCCTGGAGATCTCAGAACTTCCTTCATACCTTCTGTGCAGTCTTGGATCAGAGGGCAGAGGGGCCGATGCTGTGGCACCGTACGTTAAGCTTCCACCTGCTGTGCCAACATCCCAAATGGACATTGGTTCGAGTCCCAGTTGCTCCACTTCCCATCCAGCTCCCTGCTAATGTGCTTGGGAAAGCAGCGGAGGATGGCCCAAATCCTTGGATCCCTGCACCCATCTGGGAGATCCAGATGAAACTCCTGGCTCCTGGCTTCAGTACAGCCCAGCTCCAACTGTTGCAACTATTTGGGAATTGAGCCAACAGATGAAAGATATTCTCTCTCTCTGGCTCTTTCAAATCAATCTTTTTGGGAAGAAAGAGAGAAAGAAAGAAAGAGAGAGAGAGAGAAAGAAAGGGGCTCTAGGTCAACAGCTGCCTCCAGCCAGCCTGGGGAAGGAATCCAGGGCCCTCTTGCCAGCAGTATTTTAATTACTGGGGTGGGGTATATGTGGTTAACAAGGCTCTAGGGAAGGGCAGGACCGGGCGCTGACGGTCCCAGGAGGCATGAAGTGACTCAGTAGCAACCGGGCAGCCAGTAAAACTCCAGTTCCCCTGCCCTTTCCAACAATGGAAGAACTCCAGGGCACCCACGCTTCTCCACAGCAGCTGCCCAAGAACAGGGCCAGTAGCAGGCAGGGTACTCGCCTTCAATCCTGCTCCCCTGCTGTAAACGTGTACAGGCTGGCCATGTTGTGGCTAAGGCCTGTGGCGCAGGCATCCCACTTGGGTAGCTGATGAAGTCCTGGCTGCTCCTTTTTCAGTCCAGCTCCCTGCTAGTGCATCTGGAAAAGCAGTGGAGGATGGTCCAAGTGCTTGGGCCCCCACATATGCTGTGGGAGACCTAGAAGAAGCTCCTGACTCCTGACTTCAGCCTGGCCTGGCCCAGCCCCAGCAGCCATCTAGGGTGTGAATGGGCCAACGGGAGAGCTGGCGTGCTCTCTCTCTAACTCTGACTTTCAAATAAATAAAAGTTTTACTAGTAAGGGCTGTGCTCATGGTAAGGCTTGAGCAGGTTCCCCCAGCTGTGTGGGGGCTGACAGAGTAACAGTGTCCCGGTACAGCACCAGCCTTTGCCTGGCCCCAGTGCAGACTGCAGCTGCCGGTGGACAATGTGAACTGGGTTCCTGGCTCGGGCTGCTGGCATGCCGGCTTCTACAGCCATCACTTCATGTCTGTCACCTCTGCAATCCAAGCCCTTCCTGGGGGACCCATAGACACCAGGGCCTACCAGGGGCAAACCCCTGAGACCTCCTGAGACACCAACCGCCCCGGGGGATGGCCCTGCTAGGGTTCCCCGGGCCCCTGCGCTGGACCCCCGGAGACCTTGGTCGTCCCCATCGTTGTCCCAAGGGCTTATTGCACGGCACATCGGTCGCTAGGCTGCGGCCTGGGGCTCCCTGATCAAGGCCAGGCTCCAGCGGTAAGCAGAGGTGAAGGCTGTAGCGGTGCGGATGGCGACAGAGCGCGGACGCCAGTGGACCCAGGCCCGCGGCGCGTATGCCGCGAGCGAGGCGTTGCGGCGCGGCGCCGGCCGCCAGCGGGACCCCACGGCGCAGTCCAATGGGCCGGGCCCCGAGGACGTCCGGGCTCCGGGCCGCCTGGCCCGACTGCGAGGCCAGCTGCGGGCGGAGGCGGCGGCGCGGCTCGAGGCACCGCGGCTGCTGCGCCTGGTGGAGCGCGCAGAGGCCGCGCGGGCCGAGGAGGGCCCCGGCGAGAGGGCCGAGACGCGTAGCGGCGGCTCAGTGTGCTCCGTGTGCGGCGAGCCGCGCGGCGGGGCCACCTACCCGGCGGGCGTCCTGGAGGTGAGCGAGCAGCGGCTGCAGGAGGGGCTGGCGGCCGTGCGTGCCGAGCTTGGCGCGGGGCTCGAGGCGCTGCGGGCGGAGCTTCGCACCGAGCTGGACGCGCTACGCGCGCTGCTGCCACCCGCGCCGCCGCAGCCTGCGCCCGCCGCCGCGCGCCGCGAGCCCCGCGCCCCCGCAGCCACAGCAGCCAGCACCGCCGCCCCGCGCGGGGCGCCCCGCGGCGCGGTCCTGCTGCGGGCGCTCGGCACCGTGAACGCTCTGGCGGTGGCCTCGAGGTCCACGGAAAACGGCCCCGATGGCCCCGCGGACGGCGCCGCGAACCGAGCCTCGACCCGCAAGAGCCTCAAGAAGACTCCAGTGCTAGGTGGCGCGGACTGAGGGCAGAAGTGTGAAGGGCTCAGGTATCGCCGGGAGGTGGGGCAAGGGGACACAACTGCTCTGTGATGGATCGGGCAGAGGTCAAGGACTGCCCAGAGTGCGGGAGATGGAGTCCAGGGCTGGGCGAGGGAGGTGAGGGAGCAAACATGGGGGAGGCCCTTTGGCCCTCGAACTGGGGGCAGAATCTGGGTCAGAGGCAGGTGAGTCCGCCTCCTGGAAGGTGAGCTGGAGGTTCCTCTGGCTCAAGGCTGGTGGCCGCAGGACCCCACCTTTGAAGGCCTTCCCGAGGAGGCAGAAGACTCCCTCATACTCCTGCCATCCACTTACCAAGCAACAAACCCCCAGGACACAGGAGCAGCTGAGCCAGTGTCCTCCACCGTGTCACCCAAATGTCCCACACGGTGTCAGCTGGACAGCAGCCTCTCCACTGCCGGCCCAGCACAGGCAGCCCCAGTCACTGTCCCTTGGACTTGGCTTTGCTTGGGATCAGTGACCCCAAGGACACTCACTGCTTCGTGTGACTTCAGCACTGTCCCCTGGATGCCACGAACTCGTCAGATCTGCAGGCCTCACCAGGCCACACTCGGCCCTTCCTTGACCTTCATGCCACCACCAGGACCATTCCACACTTGCCTACAACCTCAGGCAGAGGCACCACTCAAGTTACCCAACCTGGTTTTCTAAATAAAACCTGGACACTTGGTGTAATGCTGGTAGTTCTGAGACCTGCTGGCTCCCCTCTTTCTGCCTGATCCAGGACTCGGGTGTAACGTGTAGGCTGCACGTGGGACCCTGGAGGAGGAGAAAGGCTCTGAGGGCTCTGGGTGGGAGCCTGGGACTGCTGTTCACTCAGGGGTCTTAGAGGGGTGAGGACAAGAATTTTCCCCCTTGGTGGGAGAGGAGCCACATTAGGCCAAGGTCACTCTGTGCCTAGCTTAGTGGGGGAGGGGGTTGTTCCTGGTTCCTATGGGCCCTACCAGAGCCCTCCTGCCACCCGAGGCTGAGCCCGAGGCCCTTGCACACCAACCAGGCTGTGAGAGTGGAGCTGTACTGACAGAGGATCTGGGGAAGGCAGGGACTCCATGCCCCCCTTCCCACCCAGGGGCAGGTGGGAATTATGTTAGCCAGCCTGGGGACAAACTCTGGGACACAGTCTGGAATTCAGCCACCTGGAACACTGGGTCAAGATGGGTCAGGTCAGGGATGGAGAAGGGCAGGCGGGGCAGAGGTACTAGACCCACCTACACGCACCTGATGGGCACTGCCTCCTGGAGGCCTATGAGGCACCATGTAGCAGGGAGGGACCAGGCACCCCGCAGCTGCCAGAGCAATGGGAAGGTGGACATCCGGTTCACCAACACAGCTAGGGGAGGGGAAAGAGCCACTGGACTCTGCCTTCTTGCACCCTAGTGGGTCTCCCCAACCCTGCTGGGTTGCCACAGAAGACAGGAAGGGATCAGGCTCCTTGCTGGAAGAGGACGTGGTCCTCAAGCTGGACACCATGGCAGAGAAGTTGGCACTGTCACCATCCTGGTCGAGGCCTCCAAATAGAGGAGCTGAGGGATGGGACTCTAAAGGGAGCTGTATGGAAGGAGTGGCTAAGTGGGCAGCCCCCAATGGTGGGGGCAGATCTGTGACCTCTGGTTGTCCTTGACCTCCCATACAAAGTGAGGCTCTATCCCACAGAGTGCCCCAGCCCCTGCCTCACCACCACCAACTGCACAGCAGCACAGCACACCCACGGCTATGAGACACAGCCTCACCCGTGTGCATCTGGGGGAGGCAGGGCTTCAGACCCTTTTATGTCCCCATCCCCTGCCCGAGCTGAAGCCCATCTTCATGAGGCTGTGCTAGGAGGCCTGCTTATCAGACAAACCGAGAGCAAATTGTAGCTGCAGTGGGCAACAGGTGAGCAATGGCATCCCGGATCCCCAGCATCTCCAGGTGGCTCTCCAGGCCATAAGCAAGGATACCCCCACCCCAGGCCAGTCTGCTCCTGGCCTGGCTCCACAGCAGTGGAGGTACACTGGGACCCTGGAGTTGGCAGGGGGAGGCCCATGGGCCCCCAAGCCCACGTGGAGTTGAGAGAGGAGGGCAGCTGTGGAAGCTGTGGCTGCTCCAGGGGTCCCAGTCCCCACTGGGGACTCTGGCTGCTGCATGTACCCTGGTCCCCAGGAAGAGCTCTGACCCCCTTCCATCCACGTGAGCCATGTCGGGACCGCTGTGCATGCAGGTTCTGCTGCCCTAAGCTCATGCAATTCCTGAGGGTAACAAGGCCCTCACAGGGGAATTCCTCCCTCTGCTTGGTGGCATCTCAGCCTCCGTGAGATGGGGTCCTGATCCCTGTGTCTATACATGTCCCCTTGTATGACCAGCATTTCTCTCAGAGTCCTCGGAGGTGCGTGGGAAGACGCAGGGGAAGAGTCCCCCAGATCCAGCCAAGGTCAGCGCTGTTGGTGGACGGGACTGGGCCCTGATGGACAAAAGCTAGTGCCTCCCAGTGTTTGGAACCTGAGACAGTAAGATCAAGGATGCAGCTCCAGAGAAAAGGAGCACCCACACACCCAGAAAACTGCCCTGCTGCCCCACCACACAGCCAGACACAAATCCCTGGCACCTGTCTTAGCCACCGCAGGGAGGCAAGGGAGAGCAGGCACTGGCTCTCACACAGCCCCAGACCAGGTAGGCTTCAGGACTGGGGTCATAGCAGACCCAGACCCCAATGGAAGACAGCCCCTCCTGTGGGGGACCACAGCTGGAGACCACGCCTTGTCTAGGCCTTCATCACTGGCCAAGCTGAGTACTGTGTCCTGTGTGCATTTGGGTCTGGGGAGTGTAGCACCGGGTGCCTGCAGAGTGGGCAAGGAATTGAGCTGGAAGCGGTATACGAGGCACTCTGGATTCTGTGCAAGCCCCAGCCCAGCCAGGGTCCACGAATGAGCAGTGAGATTTGGACAGGAGGAAGTCAGGACACAGCTTCTGTCCTTCCATCCCCTGGGAGAGCAGGCAGGCAGGCAGAGCCCCTGCACTTCCCACTTCCCCTCTGGGGTTCCTGTACACTACTAGCTGCACAAGACCACAGTCCCAGGAGGAGGCGTGGCAGGGGTGGGGAGGGAGGCAAGGCTGCTGCCTCTTCATGAGTGGGATAGGCTGAGGGTGGGGTGTGGCAGCACCTCCAAAGCCACACCTGGCCAGGCCACCTTGGAGAGGTCAGGCGCACTGGGAAGTGAGAACAGCTGGCACTGATCCTGTGTGGGTAGCACTTGTCCTACCATCCTCCCCCAACACCTCAACCCAGTAAAATGGAGGCACCAGAGGCCGGGGACTGCAGCGATGAACCAAAGCCACCAGCCAGGTTAGTTCACCTTGGATGCCTGCGCTGGTGATGGTCACCCCTCCCTGCCCCTCCCTCTGCTGGAGCCCATCCTCCCGGATTGGGCCCAGGTGGAGCCCTGCTGTGCTTCTCCCTTTCCCAGGACTGCTCCCCAGCACAGGGTCTCCGGGAAGCTGTAGTCCTGCCTCTTCGCCCTACAACGCCAGCGCTCCTGGGCGCCCCTCAGACATAAGACTCCGGCCTGAGAAACGACAACTTGAGTACCCAAAACTGCCCTCTGTTCTGGTAGACACTTTCAGGAATCAGGTGCCACCTCCCTGAAGCTCCTTCCCACCCTAGGGGCTCCCCACTTCTTTCCTGACGTGGACTCCTTGCCTGCCCAGAGGCAGAGCTCCCCACTCCGGCCAACCAGGAATGCCCTGGTGTCAGTTCCTGCAATTACATTTTTGCTTGAAGATTTATTTTCATTACAAAGTCAGATATACAGAGGAGGAGAGACAAAGAGAAAGATCTTCCATTCGATGATTCACTCCCCAAGTGACCACAACAGCTGATGCTGTGCCGATCTGGAGCCAGAAGCCAAGAACTTCCTCCAGTCTCCCATATGGGTGGGTGCAGGGTCCCAAAGCTTTGGGCTGTCCTAGACTGCTTTCCCAGGCCACAAGCAGGGAGCTGGATAGGAATTGGAGTCGCCAGGATTAGAACCGGCGCCCACATGGGATCCTGGCACGTTCAAGTTGAGGACCTTGCCTGCTAGGCCACGCCGCTGGGCCCCTTGCAATTACATCTTGCCACTGGCCAGACAGGCTGAGTCCTGGTCAACAAGGTGAGCTGGAAGGCCTCCTCTCTGGGTTGAGCCCCATGGGTGCCCTCAGGCTCCCACATCGTGAGCCGAGAGCTCATCCTTCTGGCTATTGCTGGAGAAAAGGTCCCAGTCCTTGAGCCTTCTCCACGTAGCTTTGTCCTGCAGCCCTGCCAGACGTTTGGCATAGGCCCCGGCAGGCCCTTCCTGGCCTGGCTCTGTCCTGCAGCCCTGCCAGACGTCTGGCGTAGGCCCTGTCAGGCCCTTCCTGGCCTGGCTCTGAGACCTTCGGGGAAGGCAAAGCGGATTCCCAATCCATTTTTCGGATGAGAACACGAAGCTCTGAGGGTCACTCACTGTACATACTGGAGGGGTAGGTCTCAGTGCAGCCCAGGCTGGGAGCACAGGCAACCAGGGTGCAGAGATGCCCTGCTGAGCTGCAGGACAGGTTACAGGTGGTCCCACAAGGGCCGGGGACTGCTTGGGTAAACAGAGTGGCTTGGTCTGCCAGGTAGTGCTGTCCAGAGCCATTTGGCTAATGAGGGGAGCATGGAGGATGGTGTGAGGTCATACAGGGGACAAGTTCCCAGACCCCAGCACCTGTGTCATCCCACATGGGCTCCAAGGTGCCAATGGCGCCTAGTCTGGATAAACCGGCAGAGGTCAGCAGGCACCCTGTGCAAAGTAGAGACACCCACCAAGGCCACACCAATACCCCAGCCAGGGCTTGGGCGCCTCAGGCCACGGGGGTCTCAGGGGGCTCTGCTGGATGCCTCAGAGTCCTGCTGTGAGGTAGGCACATCTGGCCACCCCCACCACGATCAAATCACATCAAGGACCAGCCATGCCTCTTCCAGAACACAAGTTTATTTGGCATTTGGATGTAATGGTTCTCACAGCATTTTAAGAAATGGATTAGTGCCAACCCAATCAAAAATAAACCCAAACTAAAAACCCTTAGTGAAAGGAAAACATAAAAACAGGCATTGAGACAATGTACAGTATCAAATTCCACCTCTGCCGGGCAGGCCAGCAGGCATCTGGTCTCCCCACAAGCAGTGGCAGAGGACCTGGGGGAGGAGGTCCCACTGGGCCCAGTATGGGGGGCCTGGGGAAGCACCTCCCTGAAGTGAGCTGGAACACTGGCTCGCAGACCAAGCCCAAGTGGGCTGATGCAGAATGAAAGTGGATGGGCAGATCTCAGCTCTCCTGGCTCCCCTCACAGCGGGCAGTCACAAGACACTACAGGCAGATCAGGGTGCCAGACTGGGATACAGCCGGGCGGCCTGATGAGGGGCACCCACAGTTGGGGTCCTGAGCAAGCACCCCCCACTGCAGTCCTAGTGTTTTCTGAATCCTCGTCCTTCTTCAACCCCTGCCACATGCCTGCCCTCTGGCCCCAGAGGAAGTTTCTCAATCCCACACACCACGTGCCCATTGCCCTGCCCTGTCCGTAGGTTCTGTGGCCTGGGAGATGCTGTGCCAGGCTGGTCTCACTGGGAACACGGCCATTTCCTCCATCCTCACAGCCATGACGATTCTCACCTGATCTTAGCCAAAGGGCCAAGAAGCGAGAACGACTCTCAGGGAAGCAGCAGCTCTCCAGAAGGGCCTGTGGGTTGAGCCAGTGAGAAATCCAGATCTGCGGCCAGCTCAGGGACAAAGGGCAGGTCTGCAGAGCCACTCACCCGCCCTTCCAACACCAGGAGGACAAAATGGGTCTCCAACCAGAGCGTGAGAATGTGCTAGAAGGCGCAGTGCACAGAGGTCTGTTGTCGCAAGGCACGCCCAGCCCATACTCTGGTCACTCCTCACAGCTCACCTCCCAAGTCCCTGCGTACCAGCCCCACCTGCAAAGGTTTGGACACACACACACACACACACACACTCACTCACTCACTCACTCTCTCTCACACACACAGACAAAAATAACAACCCAGACAGTCAACATAGAAAAGATATGGATGTGCTGAAAATCGCACAGAACCCGCTTCATCTCCAAACCTCAGAAATGCTAAAGGTCTATGTCAGGACACAAGGCCACGGCCCGGGACAGGACAGTGTGGAGGGTCCCTGGCCCCCCAGTCCCAGGGCAAAAGGCCTCCCCAACTGCAAGAGCTGCCAAGGAGGTGGGCATGCAGCACAGGCTCCAGAGGTGGTGGTGCAGGAAATGGGCTCTTGGGAGATGGACACAGCCTGGGGTGTTGGTTTCAGCCACTCCCCCAACCCCCGGAAACACCCTTTTATGGCACAAAAAGGTGGTAGGGTGGAGACAGCAGATAGACCCAGGGAAGTATAATATAGGGTGGAGACCCAAGGCTCAGGAGCATGGCTGGCTTAGTCCCCCCAGGCCCCAGTCACCTCCACAGCCTGGGGAGCCATGCACTGCAATGTCACGAAGAGATCTCGGGGTGGGCTCTGCCTCCTGCCCTGGAGCTGGCTTGGCAGGGCTGGAGAGAGGGCAGAATTGAACCTCCTCCCAAGCTCCCCTTCTCTCACAGCTGGCCCCGAGGGGGCACTGTAGCAATCTCAAAAGATGGACAATCCACCCCTCCATAATGCTGACAGGTGTTAGTGCCAGCCCCACGCCCTGTCCACTCCAGGTACAGGAGCAGCTGGGGGGGACAATTTCCTGGGGTGGCACCACAGCCCATAAGTCCCAATTCCACCAAGGATGTGTGTGTCTTGGCCACGGCCTCAAACAGTACCTTTTTAGTTCTGCACCTCGGCCCCTGTGATCTGAACCCACCTGATCTTTCTCCTGCCACTCAGAGACAGTGAGCCAGGGCAGTGCCTGTGTTTGAAGCTCTCAAGGAAACTTGGTGCAGCTGCTCACTGCCCTCGGAGAAAGGCTGCTCCTGGTCTATGTACACACGCATGCCTGCCGGGTGCGCAGCAGTACGGCGGTCCCTCTGAGCCCCTACAGGGGTCAGTGTCTTCTCATAGCCAACAGGCGCTCCCAGCCCACAGGGGTTGTGGGCCAGGCCACCTACACCATAGTGTTGAGGGGGCTACGGCTGTGCTGGCCACCTACTGGCAGTGCCTCTGAGACTGGGGTGCTCCCACCTGGAGCAGGTGCAGGGGACATGAGCAGGGCGCTGCTGCTGTCAACAGAGTCTTCCAGATCTGCCAAGGAGGATCCTGGCGGGGGTAGGGGCTGCTCCAGGTGCTGAGGCATGATACCGTCAGAACTGGCATCCCCCAGGGCAGGCAGGCTGGCCTCCATGGGCTCGAAGGCGTCGTCATCTGCAGGAGAAGGTGGGTGTGAGACGGCTGGGCACAGTGCCTGACCCAATGCTGCCTCCTTCAGCACAAGGTGAGGAGGCCTTTGGTGGGCCCCTGTGCCAGCCACCTGGCTGTCGTGCACACCACTGCTTGGGTAGTTGTGCAGGGGTCTGAGTTAGAGGGATACGAGGGAATAGGGTGGAATCTGGCACAATGAACAGGACCAAGGCCAGCCAGATGGCAGGAGTGGCCAGAGGAGCTGAGCTCCTTTCACTGTTATAAGGCCCCAACTAAGCTCATGCGTGTGTCTCTGCAGCCACCTGTCGGGCTCCAGGATCTGGGTCCTGTCCCTGTAGGCACAACGGCCTGTGTCTCCCTTAGCCTCCAGAGTGCAGCTGAGGGGCTCCTGAGGGTGCTCAAAGGAGGGACTAGGAGCAAAGGTTCCCAGGTCTCCCCAGAGCCTTCTGCACAGATCCAGCCAAGGGCAGCCAGGGCAGGTGCCCAGGGTACCTTCTGGAAAGGGGCCTGAAAGGAACCTGGAGAGGACCACATGAGCCAGAGGGAGCAGAGGGTTCCCTCTCCAGGGCTGATGGGCACCTGCAGGGTCGTAGAAAACACTGTCCGGATTAATGGAGGCCTCGTAGGGTGGTGGCGGGTCATCTGGCTGGTCGATGTCTGGGTACTTGTAAGCCGTGTAGGGAGGCGGAGGGTCGTGGAAGTGGAACGTCCCGCCTTCTCCGTCATCAGAAAGGTGCAGCGGGGTAAGGCCCGTGCCCAGCCCATCGGGGCCGTAATCAAAACCAGGGATCCTCCGGCCGAGGTTGAAGTGGTGCACTGAGCCAAAGAGAGAGACAGGACATCATGTCACAGAGGGGGCAGCCGGGGCCCTACAAGCCCTCTCCCTGCCCTGAGGCCATATTTAACCTGTTAGCCTGGTGGCCTGAATCTCCACCCACAGAAGCAATGGGTTCTCTACCTTATAGCTCGGGGAGAATAAGCAGGGTCAGAATGCCCCAGCCCACAGGGACCAGGACAACAGCGACACTGAGTCTTCAGGCCCAGGGAGCAAAGTCGCCCCAGCTCATCTCCACCGGCACACAGGCCTGTGCTGGGACAGGGTGCCCACGGACATGAGGGGTGGTCCCAGCAGGGAGCATGGGGCACAGCTGAAAAGCACAGATCAGGGAGGGGCACTGCTTGCCCTGAGTCACCTAATGGCCCCAGGGGTCTCTGGAGGGCAGCCATCAGGGAAGGTGACACCACCACCTCCATGCACGCATGGGGCCGCTCCTCCTACTGTGAGATGGGAGCCCTCTCTCCCTAAAGCTCTGCACAATTCCTGCCAGTGATGTACGTGGCTGGTAGGATGCCTCGGCACTCCCACACTGATAATGCAGGGGCCCATTGCTCCTTCTTGTCTGACCTGTGGCCAGGGGCACTCACAATTTGCTCCAATCAGGGACTCGATGCGCTCCCGACGCCTCTGGCGCAGCCGATGAACCATGAAAAGCAGCAGCGAGAGGATGAGGAAGGAGGAGATGCAGCTGACAACCAGGCGCATCCCACTGGCCATGGAGTCGAACAAGCTGTTGCCATCTGTGAGAACAGATGAAGAGAGCCCATGCCCAGGTTCCCTTTGCCCAACCCTGCCAGTGTGCCTGGCACAGTGAAGGTCACAGCCTCCTCCCCAGGTTGCCCCTTGCCCTAGTCACTGTCACTCTAGAATCCAAACAGTGACTGCGAAGACAGCCTGACTGCCACTGACTTTGTAATAAAAATAAATAAATCTTAAAAAAAAAAAAAAAAAAAAAAGACACTCCACAGCCCCACTGAGGCAGATGGGGCTGGGCAGCCCTGGGTAAATCTGTTTTCCAGGCAATGCAACTTGACTAAGACACCTTCCTTAGCCCTTCCCTCACCTCTGAGCTTGCACTCTTTTGGAGGTCAGCAGTTGGAGGTGCATGGCATGGAGTGGGCAGAGGCCAGGGCCGATCAGAAGCCTGCTGGCAGTGCTCAAAATGGACCATGCTGGCTCTGACCTTGACTGCCATGCCAGTTGAGGTGGCACAAGCAGAAACCCTGGCCTTGTAGAAGAGAACCCAGGGATGGCCCCCTCCTGAGATCCTGCTCCCAGCACCTTCTAGTTTCAGTGGCAGCACACTGGTCCTTGAGTGGGGCCCTGGGAGAGTCAGGAACTCAGAGAAGCAGTTCCCAGCAGGACCAGGGCAGGGATGGGAGCAGCATCCGGCTAAGCAGCTGAGTCCACAGAGAGGGCACCCTTGTGTACAGAGTGGCCAGGCAGGACTGGGAATCCAAGCCACAGGGGTGGTAAGACAGGCTCTGACCTACTCAGAGGGAAATGAGTTTGGAGTGATATGGTAGCGATTTCGGAAATCAACAAGCACTGTGTGAACTCAGCCTGGACATGGGGAGGCCGGAGTTCCACCTTCACTCCTCTCTGGCTCTATGTCCCTAACTCCTCCACTCTTGCCACTCCACGTCAATTCTAGTGCCCCATTAGCACACCCCCTGCTGCCCAGCCTCAGACAGCCTCTGGAGGATGGCTCCGTCGTCCCACCAGAGCAGGCCTCCAACAATCCCCCAGAGGACATCCTAAATGCTGCTGCCACACACCCCAGCTCCAGCCATTCTTCCATGGGACTCCCAGCCCCCCCACAAACTGCTGTTCTACAGGATCCCCAAGCCCAGGGCTCCCACAGGCCCCTTGCTGCATAGGTCTGCCTGGCACACAAGAAACAGACTCATTCTCTTGAACTGACAGAGCTGCCAGAAGCATTGCTATGCAGTGTGACAAAGTCACGCAGAGCAGTCAGAGCAAGCAGGGGCCCAGCTGCTCTCTGCTCTGCAAATAGACAGAAGGGGGCCAGAATCCAGGCCAGCACCCAGATTAAAGCACTACTGAGCTGGCAGGACTCTGACCTGGAAACTGGGAGTAGTCTTAGTCTTTTTCTTTTCTTTAGTTGAAGACATTTCTTTTTTATTGGAAAGTCAAACTCACAGAAAGAAAGATCTTCCATCCGCCTGCTCACCGCTCAAGTGGCCATAATAGCCGAAGCCGAGCAGATCCAAAGCCAGGAGCCAGGAGCTTCTTCCAGGTCTCGCACGTGGGTGCAGGGACCCAAGACTCTGGCCTACTGCCTTCTCAGGCCATAAGCAACAGATGGAAAGTGGGGCAGCCAGGACACAAACTGGCACCATAGGGGATCCTGGCACATGCAAGGTGAGGATTTACTCACTAGCCCACTGTGCCAGGCCCTATCTTAAGTCTTTTTTCTTAGAAAGCCTAGCAGCAAAATCTGGCAACTGTAAGGAAAACTGTCATTAGCTTTCCCATCATCATCACATCAAAGTCAGGGACAGCACTCTGAAATCGGCTCTGGAGAGAGAAGTGGGTGTTGTGGTGCAGGGTGTGAAGCTGCTGCCTGGGCCGCCCAAGCCCCATATCAGAGTGCCTTGAGCAGCCCTACCTCTACTCCCATCCAGCTTCCTACTACTGTGTACCCTCGAAGGCAGCAGATGATGCTCCAAATGCTTTGGTCCCTGTCATCCCTATGGAAGACTCGGATAGAGCTCCTGGCTCCTGGCTGCTGGCTTTAGTTGCTGTGGACATATGGGAAGTGACGCAGCAGATGGAAGACCTCTGTCACTCGTGCCTCTCTGTCTCTCTCTCTTTACATAGATGACTGTAAGTCACACCAAGGAGGCAAAGGGACACAGGGCTTTGGCCCTGAGCACGGAGGCTGGCTCACACAGCACCAAGCGAAGTCTCACCTGGGTCCAGACACATGAACTTGCAGCACTCCTTGGGGTCCTTGCGGTACTGCTGGCAGCCCTGGGGCCGCTCGCAGAGGGCAGCCACGCACATCTCAGGCTCGCCTCTGTGGCAGGTGCAGCTCAGGCATGGGTCATCCCCCTTGGGGGTGAAATAGAAGCCTTCGTCCACCACATTGTCCTTGATGTCCACACACGTCTGACCTGCAGGGGCACATGCACAGAGAGGGATGTGTTCCCAGCAGGAGGAGCCAAGGTCCCACCATCTGAGCGTGGGGGACAAACAGGGCCGCAGAGAAGGCAGGGAGATGGTACCCACATGCTCCCACAGCGGAACTCTGAGGCCTGGCCCCATGCACGGGGTGGGTGTCCAACAGTGGGCCCTACAGCACCCTGCCAGGACAGAGCAACGCAGTCTGCGAGAGCAAAGACTGCCAGACACCGGGCCCAAGCTCCCCGCAGTGTCTGCTTGCAAGAAAGCTAAGCAGTTAGTTTACTTCTGAGGTCCCCTCAACACCATTTTCAGCTGACAAAGGGCAAAAGGAGTTTCCAAATGAGCCACTGGCTCTGCCTGGGGAAGGGGTGCCTCGAGACACACAGGGTAAGGTCAGGGCACAACTGGGTTGGCACCAAGCAGTTAGAGGAAGAGCCACGGACAGAGGATGCAGCTAGGGGCAGAGGGAGAGTACAGACACATGGAAAAGGGGCCAGAGAGAGGCAGTCGACCAAGCCGCATGGGCTCAGTATAGGAATAAAGGAGGTGTTTGTTTCCAAATGGGAGGTGACATGCAGTCAAAGACAGCAGCAACGTCACAATCACGAGCTTGTGTTCCACTGGGGTCAACTCGGTGTCACCTGTGTGGTCAGGAGCTCCAGAGGCAAGACACTCACAAAAAAGTGTTTCCTGCTACAATCCAGGAAAGAATGAAGAAAAATGAACACAGCCTTCCAACAGGAAAGAGGAACACCAAAACCAACACATGGAAATGGGAGCAACAGAGGGGAGGGAGCAGCAGAAACAACATTCACAAAATGGCAGCTGAAAACCCCCTGCTCCCCCAGGTTCACTGAGGAACAAGGACCAACAGCTGCCAGAAACTCAGCCAATCTCAAGTCAACGAAGGCCGAAGATGCCCCAGGCTGGCACATCTCAGTTAAGATGGCAAGGCCAAAGGCTCGGCAAAGACCTGCAAATGGGTGGGCCTGGCGACCACAGGGCAGGCCAGTGAGAGCGGCAGCCACCACCCCGGCAGCAGAACAGAGGCCAGGGGCAGTACATGAGGGTCCAGGCGCTCAGCGGGCTCCTACCAGCCACGATCACTGATTCAGCAAATACGCCTCGGCAAAACGAAGACAGCCTTTCCCACACCGGCCACGGCAAGTTTCTTCCACTAAGCCCATGTGAAAAAGAGTAATTCTAAATTACACGATAAGTGCATGCTTTCCTTTATTATTTTTAAAAATATTTATAGGCCTGGAGTGGTGGCCTAGTGGCTCAAGGCCTCATCTTGAACGCGGCAGGATCATGTATGGGTGCCAGTTCTAATCCCAGCAGCTCCACTTCCCATCCAGCTCCCTGCTTGTGGCCTGGGAAAGCAGTCAAGGACGGCTCAATGCTTTGGGACTCTACACCCGCATGGAAGACCTCGAAGAAGTTCCTGGCTCCTGGCTTTGAATCTGTGCAGCACCGGCCGTTGTGGTCACTTGGGGAGTGAATCATCAGATGGAAGATCTTCCTCTCTGTCTCTCCTCCTCTCCGTATATCTGACTTTGCAATAAAAAATAAATCTTCAAAAAAAAATCATGGGCCCAGCATGGTAGCCTACTGACTGAAGTTCTTGCCTTGCAACACTGGGATCCCATGTAGGTGCCAGTTTGTATCCCGGCTGCTCTGCTTCCCTTCTGCTGCCCTGCTTGTGGCCTGGAAAACCAGTTGAGGAAGGCCTAAAGCCCTGGGACTCTGCACCCACATGGAAGACCTGGAGGAGGCTCCTGGCTTCAGATCAGCTAAGCTCTAGCCGTTGTGGCCACTTAGGGAGTGAATCATCGGATGGAAGATCTTCCTCTCTGCCTCACCTTTTCTCTGTAAGTCCAACTTCCTAATAAAGATAAATAAAAAAATTTTTGTATTATTTATGCTTATCTGAAAGAAGACAGAGGGAGAGGAAAATGAGGAGGGGGATCTTCCATCCATCTGCTGGATCACTCCCCAGATGCCTGCAAACGGTGGGGCTGGGCCAAGCCCAAGTCAGGGGGACCAGGAACTCCGCCCGGGTCCCCCACACTCAGGCAGGGACCCGAGCAGCCGAGCCACCACCTGCTGCCTCTCAGAGACACATGAGCGGCAAGCCGAGCTGGAAACAGGGTAACCCAAACTCAAACTCACATGACACCCCAAGTGCCATCTGCTCCAGCCCGACCCCAGCTTTCCACCAAGGCAGACTCTGGAAGGCACCATCGGCAGCTCAAGTAACTGAGCTCCTCCCATCTCCAACACATACTTTCTCATAATATGCATTTTCCGTAAACTTTTGAAGATCCTTTGTGTACACAGACTTAAAAACAAAACAAAACAAAACAACAACAACAAAAAAAACATGGCGAGGGCCAAAGGAGTGGCATAGTACACTAAGCCTCTACCTGCAGCACCAGAATCCCATTTGATCACTGGTTCGAGTCCCAACTGCTCCACCTCCAATCCAGCTCCCTGCTTATGAGTGGGGAAAGCAGGGAAGGATAGCCCAAGTGCTTGGGCCCCTGTACCCCATGGAAACCTAGAGGAAGTTCCTGACTCCTAGCTTCAGACAGGCCCAACTCTGGCTATTATAGCCACTGAGGTGAGCCAACAGATGGAAGATTTTATTTCTGTTTCTCTCTCCCCTCCTCCCATTCCTATAGCTATGCCTTGCAAATAAAAAGTTAATCTTTAAAAACTAAATAAAAACAATCTGCACACAAAACAAATATAGTTGTTAATTCAATTTTCTCTGGACTTTCTGCAGCGCTCGGGATCTGCGCAGTCACTGCCAGCTTCCCTATTTGATGCCTATATTTACAACTCAAGGCCCACCAAGGCCTCCAATCAAGCTTGCCTGCCTCCAGTCAGAGCCACTGGGGCAATGGTGAGAAGACCTTGTGCTAGACCCACCTCCAGCTGAGGAGCACGGAAACTGAAATGCAGGGCACGGTGCCACTGCAGGCAGAAGCCTAATCAGCAGCATGCATACAAGTGCCAGGTCAAAGTCACAGTGGAAAGGCCAGCATCATGGCATTGTGAGCTAGGCTGTTGCCTTCAACACAGGCATTCCATTCAGGTGTCACACCATGTCCAGGCCGCTTCATTTCTGATCCAGCTCCCTAACGCACCTGGGGAAGCACATTAAGATGGTCCGAGTGCTTGAGCCTATGCAGCCATGTGGGAGAACCAGATGGAATTTCAGGCTCCTGGCTTCAGCCTGAACAAGCCCTGGTTCCTGTGGTCATCTGGGGAGTGAACTAGCAGATGGAAGCTCACTTGCTCTGTCTGTCTCTCTAAGTCTGTCATCTTAGACAGGGCCCAAAGGGGAGACATAGAGAAAGGAGAGCAAACATTAAGCAAAACATTAAGAGTTGGCATGAGCCCAGTTGTTCAGAAGTGGGTTCAGACATCTGCATCCCATGCTGGAGTGCCAGGCTCCACGGCCTGCTCTGACTGCTAACCCAGCTTCCTGGCAACACTGATTCTGGGAAGCAGCAGGTGGTGGTGCCAGGAGCTAGGTCCCTGCCACCCATGTGGAAGACCTTGCTAGAGTTCCTGGCTTCCAGCCTTGGCCCGATCTAATGTCTGCCATTGTAAGCATTTGAGGAGCGAACAAGTGGATGGAGTTCTGACTGTCTGTGTCCTAATGTGCCCCTCAAATCATTTTTGAAATTAAAAAAAAAAAAGAAAGAAAAGAAAAACCATCTACCAAACCAACATCACCCCAAAGTGTTGTTAATGAACAGAAGCCAGGGGTGCACAGGTCACCCGCAGGGCTAACTGTCTGCAAACCCTTGCACGTCAACACCTCTCACTGCGCTTCAAACCCTCCCTGAAGCCAGAGCTCGGTGGAAGGAAGGCATTGCCTCGTTCAAGAGCCGAAACCACTGAATTCAGTCAGATGTCTTAAAAAAAAAAAAAAAAAGTAGGAAGAAGCACAAGACTCCAAGCACCAGGAGCTCCACAAAACTAGGACCAGACACAAAACTGAGGACATACAGCACAAAGAAGTTCAAACCACTATGCTGAATGCTTTAAACCAACTCTTGGAAAAAGGAGATAACATAAAAGACCAGGTGGGAAATTCAGTAGGGAAACGGAACCTGTGAGAAGGTGTCGGAGAGAAACCCTAGAAAGCGAGAGACACAGCAAAATGACGGAGGATGCCTCCCATGGGCTCTTCTGTACACTGGACTCCACAAGGAGAGAAGCAGGTGATCTGAAGACAGAAGACAGGAAGGAGATTCCACAGAGAGGAACATCAGGTGCAGTGGATGATTCTGGACAGGATTCCCAACAAGGGAAAAAAGTGTTTTAAAGAATATGGTTCTGCTGCCTTTTCAGCCTTTTGGCTAAGATAAAGTATAGGACACGGTTCTGTACCCACGCAAGGTACTGTGGTTTAAGAGACTGTCTCATTCTTAGGAAACACATTCTGAAATCTACAGGGTTAAAGGTCCACACTTTCCAAACAATTCCAAAAAGCACACACAGGAAGAGTGAATAAGAAAAGCCACCGTGGTGGACAGGAGCAGCTGTGTCTGCGCTAAGGCCCGCAGGAGAGAGCTCCCTGAACCACCACTGCAGCTTCTCCCCAGGTCTAAAATTAGGCCCACAGCAGGTTACAGAAGGCTCTTTGTCCCTAGCCCACATGGCTCCACAAGGTACACAAAGACACAGAACAGTGCAAGAAAAAGTTTCCTAACTCCCTTCACAAAACAAACATCAATGTGACAGGAAAATGAGATCAGGCAGGGACAGACAGGAAATGCTAACAAGCCAAGATCGCTCCTTAGCAGAACGACAGACACTCAGCAAGAGAAATCCTGCAGCAGAGTACACACGAGCCCCTGAAGGCAGTGAGCTAGGCAGCTTTTAGGGCACCTGAGAGCCCAGAGGGAGGCTGAGGGCTGTTAAGGCGTGCGGTTTGGAGGCACACAGTCCAAGAGCCAGCACGTCCCACTGGCCTGGCGTTTGAAAGAGGTTTGAAAGACACTAGGTATACAGGGCCAGGCAGGCAACACAGCAGGCATGCCCTTTCTCCCCACTCCACCCTGTAAGTCTGCCACGTGAGCAGCCCAATCTAATCTAAGCACTCCTCAAAACCCCACCTTCAGAAGCCCTAACCGACTGGATCAAGCCTGCCCCATTCGCCAACTTTAGCGTCATTCCATTAGCCAAATCCAGTTTAATTCATAATACACTGTTTAACACTAGAAAACCTATTAACACAAAGTAAGAAATATACCGACATAAAGATAAGAAAAACTGCAAAACTTCAAAAGATGCAGAAAAAACACTTAATAGAAATCAGTATTTTGCTTATACGAGTAGTTCCAGCCAACTAGGCATGGGAAGCGACTTCCCTAGCCACACAAAAACATGTTCCAAAGTCCTCAAGAGGCAATCTATTTAAGGCTGACACCGACATCACAATGCCCATCACCACCCTTCTAATCAACACTGCTCTGGATAAATTAGTCAGAAAGGTATACATTAGCTGGAAATGTTAAGAAAGAGTTAGAGACTTGAAGAACAACCAAGTGAAAATCAAGAAGTTAGGAAAGTTCACAAACTAAAAATCATAACAAAGTTGCTGATCAAACTCATCCCAAAATTTAACAGAAAAGGGCCCAAGAGTTAAGTATTGGGACCAAAACAAAGGTATCAAGAAAGAGAGAGAGGAAGTCACAACGCTGGCTGCCCAGAGCCTCGGCAGGGCCAGTGTGGCACGGCAAGGCTGGACAGAGTGCCCAGCTCGGCCTGGAGTCTAGCACAGTCCTGGCACACACATCTACAGGGCAGGGACTGATGGCACCCAGGGTGTCAGCTGGACCCAGACTCCTGCAGTGGCTACCGAGCCCCATCCCAGTGCCCACCCAGGCAGACAGTGCAGCAGTGGGAGGTCCTAGCCTCCCTCACAGCCACACCAGGAGCATCACCCACTCCAAGCTCAAGAAAGCCTCAGCACGGAGTTCGAGGAAAAAATACATAACCCTGGCAGAAGGGCCCAGTGAGAGCCAAGACGGGCCCAAGGGACTTGGTTCTCCAGAGACCTGGCAGGTCCTTGGTTAACACTGCCACCAAATCTCCTAGCAACATTGAAGCAGGCAGGGCAGGAATTACCATCTCTACAAGGAGGGGAAGAGCAGCCGGATCAGAGATGCTGCCTGGGCCACAGAGCAGCCCATGGGCCAGCTGGGCGGGCTGCCTCAGGGCAGAGAAGGCCTAGTCAAAGGGACTTACTTCTCTTGCACAGAAATGAGGACTTCTCGTAGCAGCTCTCGGCGTGCCAGCTGTGGAGGTCATGGTGCCGCAGGATGGGGAAGTGGAAGCACTGGAGCTGGGCGCAGAACACACCGTCGCTCTCAGACTGGGCCGAGGACAAGATGGAGTCTGGCGGCATGACCACCTCCGAGGACCCTTGCGGGGGGACAGAAGTGGGGTGGCCATGAAAACACAGCGTCAGCAGCTGAGTCTGCAGTACTCTGAGGCTAACCTGACCTGGGTCACTGGAAACATGGTGCAACCCCCACAGAAAGCAGAACAACTTGCGAACACATCACACTCCCACTCCATTCACACACAACACAGCTCACTGCTTTAACAAGACACCCACACCAAGTACACTGTTCAGTTTGCAAAGGCCAGTGAGCAGGAGCCTCATTCTATAGCTCCCCAGCCAGTGCAGGACGTATCAAGGCCTGCAGGGTCTGTCCCCCTCAGGCTGGCATGGCCACCAGGGATACCAGGGTTCCAGCAGCCAGCCTGTCTGGTCTGCGTGTCCACAGCAGGCAGGCCAGCTCTCTAGAACCCTCTGTGGGACTCGTCTTCACAGCTCCCATGCAGGTGGCGCCCCCAGCGCCCTGCACAGTGCACTGCCCTGGCTCCGAGCCCCCTGCTTCCCAGCGATTCCACCAGACCCTTTGGATTCCCAGTGATTCCAGAGCCCCCTTCACCAGAGTAGCCCCTTCCCCCTCTTGAAACCTGCTTTTTTCACCATTTGTCTTCTGTTCTCATGGGCTCAATGAGGAACAAGATCCTCCCAACTTAAAAAAAAAAAAATGAAATCTTTAACACTAAGGTGGGTGCCAGCCCTGAGCTCCTTGGCACGCATGCAGTCAGGGACCAGAGCACAGGCGACTTCTCAGGGCAGGCTGCTGTGCATGGTGCCTGCCACAGGCAGTGCCAAGGCAGGGGTGACTCAGGTAACCACAAAGCTGGTCTGGGGGGACTTGGAGGCTGGCTCCAGGAAAGAGTAACAACACCCCCTCCTGGCAGCAAACAGGGATGCAACAGATCTGCCCAGGAGGCTGCTGGAGACGTGATTCCAGGGTGCCAGCTGGTGGCTGCTACGGTGGGCACGCCTTGCTCATTCCAGACCACTGCCAGTTTCCCCAAGGTCAGCCAAGGGCAGCCTGCCCTGGAAGTGAGCTCTAGGGGCGAGGGGGCAAGGGTAAGGAGGGAAGGAAGGAATCATGAGCTGGATGAGATCTGATTGTGAGAAAAGAGGCGTGAAGGGCAGGGCACGGGACAGCAGCACCCTCTGGCAGCAGGGAGAGGGTGGACACTTGCACATTGTCCCCAGCTCCCACATCTTGACAGACTCTCCCCTCATAATCCCCACCCCAGACACCACTGCTCCTACATCAAGGGGACCCCACTCACTTTTCTGAGCCCACACAGGCCCCTCCCCCTTTCCTATGTTGCTACCCACAGAACAACCCTGTACTGGGCCCTTTGGACACCCCAATAGAGCCACTGAGGCACTCCCATCCGGGGGCCGTCTCAGCTCTAGGAATACAGCCGGCCGGGCAGGCTCTCTGCACCACATCCTGCAGTGGCTGACAGGCCTCGGCAGCCCCTCCCTGGCTGCTGACAGAGGCCTTTAGGTGCTAGGGTCCCAGACCACAGTTCATCTGCTCACTGAACTGTCAGGGGTCCTACAGTGGGGTCACATGCTTCCTCAGAAATAGTACCAGGGCAGGAGGACAGGTCCTTCCCAATTACACCCTGCTCAGTCTCACTCAACCAATGTGTGCACACTCGAGGCCAGGAAGGGTACAGGAGAAAGCACAGTGAACAAACTACTTGTTGAATAAGTTACCCAACACACAGGCACATTAAACAGTATATGTGCCCTTTTTCACCCTTCCAAATAAGCTGACATAGATGTGTCGTTAGCCATGACGGGCAGCCCGAGGGTCAGCAGCAGAACAGCCAGCCACAGCTCTGGATAAGAACCAGTACTTTCCCAACCTTACTGCTGGCCCCATGTCCTCTGGTGCAATAGCTCCCAGGTTCAAGGGCACAACAGCACCCAAGTGCTATCAAACCAGCAAGAGTCTTGATTCCTGAGTAGGTGTCCAGGCTTGGGTAGATGATGGGAGACTAGACATGCAGATTAAAAAAAAAAAAAAAAAAACACTACAGTGAAGTACACATCTTTTAACCCCATCCACCACAAACTGCAGGTTATGCTAAGTATAATATGCATGCAGCATTGTGAAAAGCCACAAGACATACCAAAAAGAAAAATAGAAAAAAATAGAAAACAGAAAACAAAATGGGGCAGGAGGTAGACAAAAGCAGTATTTAAGCGCCTGCCTCCGAGGGGCCCTGTCACTGCCCTCTGACTACTGGTCTGGGGTCTGGCATCATTTTGGAGGAAGGTTCACCCACCTGCCAGTGCTTTCTGAATCCTTTTACCCAGGTCACCTGCACAGACTCAACACATCCCTGTGTCGGCTCAGCACTCAGCCACACAGCTGCAGGTGGAAGGACCAGCCCCACCACGCCCTGTGCACTGCTGACCTTCCCTTTTGTGCATGTTTTCTTAGCAGGAAACTGCTTATATTTTTCTGGCATGGAAACACACACAACGGCAGAGAAAACAGTAAAAATGCATTCCCCAAGCAGCTTCAACTCCTGCCTACACCTTGCTGTGTGGAGTCCAACACCCTCACACATACAAACTCCTCCTGCACACAGTTACACACCTCTCCAAAAACACCTGGGAAGATGACCCACAAGCCCAACCCTATTGCAAATCCATGTTCAAAACCTCGCTTGTCACCCCCGACCACCTGGGCAGTGGGTTCCAAAGCCGTCAGGGCTATAGGCTCTAGTCGGTTCTGTGCTCCTTTCACTTGACTCCACAGACACTCGGAGCACAGACCTGGTCGAGAGCCTAGGCCATGTATTTTGTAGCACAGACCCTCATCCAGCCAGGTGTGTGACCACTCCTCAGATCCTGCAACAGGACTCCCCAGTCTAAGCAGGCACAAGCTGCCCACAGAGCGCCGGCCCTACACTGCCCTGCTGTGGCCAGGAGCTCTCTTTGGCTGTGGGACAAGCCCCAAGTGTACAAATGGGTTCCATGCCAGCCACGGTTGCCAGCACCGATGTCTATTCAATCTTCTAGACTTTACTCACCCCTCACATCCCAATGAGGTACCTATGGGGCCCTGCCTGTGCCAGGAAGGAGGGTCCCCCGGCCCCCAGGCTCCACCTCCCGTATCCACTCTTTAACAACAGCAAGAGAGGCCAGTACAGCACCGTCTCCTAGGGTGGGGCACTGGGCCTGGACTACAGCATCTCATGGACTCACCTCAAATCGCTGCCAGGAGGCCCCGCTGCTCTCCCCACCAGCCCCACCACAGCACACTCAGGACTTCCTGAGCTCTAGCCAGAGGCACAAGAGGCAGGGCTTGAGAAGTGACAGGGTACGCACACAGTGTGGATGGCAAGTGGAAAGAACATGGGCCTGGGTGCCTGCATGAGACTCGCCATTGTCATGGCCATGGGGCAGGAAATAGGAGCTCGGCCTCCTGGGTGTTTCCAAGCACTTCAGAAGATTATCGAAACCACAGGCGCACACTCTTACACACATGTGCACTGCACAGTCATGCACTCACACGGACACACGCGCATTCATGCACACACTCACATACACACCCAGACAAGCACAAAAGCACACTCGCACAGCCCTGTTCACATTCCCAAGTTCTCCCTGCCTCCTCTAAATTTCAAACTCCAATTTCGACCTTGTCTGTCCTAGAAAGTAAGTTCCCAGAGTCCCAATTCATGCAACAGGCGAGCAGTCTAGGAATCTAACCAGATCCAGAAGCAACCGAAGGCTCCAGGAAGGGCTCAGCCCCACACGGCGGCCTCTGGGAACTCTCCTTGCAAGGTAGCAGAACAAGGGCGAAAAGGGAGAAGCCCCCGCAATGTCCCCCACTTCCAAAGTCAACGACCACAGAGGCTTACCTTTGAACGCCACCTCCCAGCGACCTAAGGAGCGGTTCCGGCCAGTGATGACGTACTGGTAACCCACCCATAGCCTGCAGGGGACAGAGACAGACTTCAACAGTCATGCTGAGCTCTAGACCGCACCCCTCTAGAATGCGAATGATGGCCATCTTATTTACCCACAGGCAAACAGACACACAGAGATCCCCTGACTGCTGCTTCATGGCCCAGATGCCTGCAACAGCCAGACACAGCCAGTCCCTCGGGACTTGGGCCAGGTCTCCCATGTGGGCAGCAGGAACGCAAGCGCTTCAACTAGGAGGGGCATCAGAAGGAAGCTGCCATCATCAGGTACACAGTGAGCTGGAATTCAAACCCAGGCACCTGATACAGGATGCAGCCATACTAATAGGCACTTTAACCACTCGGCTAAATCCCTGCCCTTGACTGACACTTCAAAGATGCACTCAAAGTCCAAACACTAGGGGGCACAATATGGCACCACCGGTTGAACCAGCCAGCCATTGAAGGTACCCACATCCTACAGGAGAAGGCCTGGGTTTGAGCCCTTGCTGCAACTCCAGGCCAGCTTCCTACTGCTGACTGGCACTAGCATCGGTACAGTGCCTCTGCCACTGGTCTCCCTGCCAGCCGCCTAGGAAACCGGATTGAGTTCTTGGTCCTGGCTTCAGCATGACCTAGCCCTGGCTACTACAAGACTGCATTTGGGTGGTGAACCAGTAAATGAAAGATATCTCTCTCTTTCCTATCTCTTCTCTCTCTCTCCCACTCTGTCTTCCAAATAAATTACCGATTTTTATAAAAGTCTATAGAAAATGAAATTTTTAAAATATTTTTCACTGGGGGTCTGGCACAGTAGCCTAGTGGCTAAAGTCCTCACGTTGCATGCCTGGCATCCCATATGGGAGCCAGTTCGAATCCCAGCTGCTCTGCTTCCTATCCACCTCCCTGCTTGTGGCGTGGGAAAGCAGTCGAGGACGGCCCAAGGCCTTGGGGCCCTGTTCCTGCATCGGAGACCTGGAAGAAGCTCCTGGCTTCAGATCGGCTCAGCTCCCACCGTTGTGACTACATGGGGAGTGAACCAGTGCATGGAAGATCTTTGTCTCTCCTTCACTCTGTATATCTGACTTCCCAGGAAAACTAAATAAATCTTAAAACAAAACGAAAACTAGTTTTCAATGAACCCCCAGGTCAAAGGCTTTATCTGGAGTAACTCCTGCCAAAACTGTTCTGAAATCACAGAAATGTATACTCTGCAGAGCTGAATCCTGTGGGACAGGAATCACACCTCAGTTAAAAAAAGAGCATGGGCCCCAGCGCGGTAGCCTAGTGGTCAAAGTTCTCGCCTTACATGTGCTGAGATCTCATATGGGCCCCGCTTTCCATCCAGCTCCCGGTCTGTGGTCTGGGAAAGCAGTCAAGGATGGTCCAAAGCCTGGGACCCTGCATCTGCGTAGCCGACCCGGAAGAGGCTCTTAGTTCTTGGCTTCGGATCGGCTCAGCTCCAGCCATTGTGGGCCACATGGTGAGTGAATCATCAGATGGAAGATCTTCCTCTCTGACTCTCCTCCTCTCTGTATATCTGACTTACAAAAATAAATAAATATTTTAATAAAATAAAAACAATAGCATCACTTAAAAAAAAAAAAAAGGAGCATGGAGAATGAACTCTGGTGTGTGGGTCAAGACCCTGCTCATGGTTTCCCCTCAATTCCAGCTGGACCAGGCAGGTGGCCACAAGCAGCAGCTCTCCAGCCCCAGGAGACAGGGCAGGGTGGGGGAGGGTCTGGCTTCTCCACTGGACCACAGGCGTTTGCTCCGGTGGGCGGGGGGACAACAACTTATGAGCTAGGAGTGACTTTCCTACTGCGCAGCCCTCAGCCCTGTGGTCAGAGTCCCCAAGTCCAGTTGCAGCTGGGTCACTGTGCTCCCAGTGAAGAGTGCTGGCTGGCTCTGAGAGCTCACAGGCCACAGCGAGAGCTGACACTGCTCCCTCCCTGCCCCTGCTGCTTGGCTTTGGGAGTGGCCCAAGCACAGCTCAGCTCCCAGACCAATGCTAGATGTGGTAGCTGGCTGCCCCTTGGACAGTGCCCTGAGGTCAGGAGCCACAGGTGGAGGGCAGTCTGCTTGGGTACCTGGTACGTGCCACCTTGAGGCTTCCGGGAGGATGTCACAAGCAGGCACTACAGAAGGAATCCCAGTCCCACAAAGTGACAGCAGCACCCAGCCTGCCCCTCCCTCCTCTCAAGGCACAGGCAAGGGCTTCGCCTCAGCAGCACCTGCACAGGGAGACAGGAGCCATGTGCCCATGAGGACCCCAGCCCAGGGCTCACTTGCGCTGGTCCTTCCAACCAAAGCTTCGTTCAGGCTGGTCCCACTCCTGGGCCAGGACAAAGCGCAGCTCCTGGTCAGTGGAGAAGGTGGCGAGGGAGCCGTTGACACGCTGGCAGGTCTGCAAGGCATCCCAGTAGTTCTCCCCGCTCAGGTAGACACGGTAGCAGCTGGCCGTGCCTTCATAGTGGTGCCACCCGGTGGGGCACTTCCCTAGGAAACATGAAGAACACAAGGGGAGTGGGCCCCCATATTAGGACCCCAGACTCGAAAAACAAGATTCTGCACTGCATCCCAGAGCATCAGGCACACGGCAAAAATCACCCGGGAGAAGGGGAACCAAGTGGGTGAGCCTCTGCCTCTAGGACCACACACCCACCTTGTAGCACAACAACCCCAGCCCATGGGGCGTGGACATCCACAACCCCTTCCAAGGCTCTAAGGTCCTTTCACGTGTTCTGCAGACAAGATTGCACTCACTTCTGTCAGACCTCATTAGCTAACACAACTACCAATGAGACCCACACCAGCAGGCCCAGGTGCAAGTGAGCAGGAAGATGCCCCACCTGCCCACGTACCCGTTACTTCCCCAATTCCTCCTCTGCCTGCGGGCCAGCTACTTCCTGAGCAGAGCCCACTTCCAGCTCATGTGGGCCTTTTTCAGCAGAGGCTGGCCAGAGCACCGCCAGAGGTAGCCCAGGAGGTGAGAGCCAAGAGGCCAGGGGAGATGAAGTGACCAGTCTCTGCCCCCCACAGACAGGAACAAGGGCTGGGCACTGCCAAGCCAGCAGCAGCCTGTCTCCCTACATCTGCTGCTGTTACACCCAGGAAGGCCTGCTGTGTTGTAGTTCACCCAGTCAGTACTGGAGGCCGGTTCCACAGAATCTGTACTCTCCAAATGTTGGGGTAATCCCCGTGAGCACACCCAAATGGAAAACATTTTGCAGCAACGGCACTCCTTCGAGGCTCTGAAGTTAGAGCCTGAGTTAGAGCCGGGAGGTGCCAGCCTCCTCAGCAGGCGCCCAGGCTATGGGAAGGAGTAGCAGCCTGTCCAGGTACTAAGACATGCAGACAGCCCTGCGGCACACCGGGGCAGTGAGCTGGACACATCTCCTGTCCCCCTACAGCTGGGGTAAGCACACCTTATGGAACAGGGACAGCGGGAAAGGCAGAGGGGCCAGGCAGCATGTGCAGCCCAGGCCCACGAAGGGAAAGGAGAGAGAGCCATTTATTGCCTGCTCGCCCCGAAGCGCCCACGGCAATGTGCTCGGCTGCCCACACTCCCAATGGATACAACAGATTTGGGGATGGGATCTGAGCCATGAGCTCCACGGGGGTGGGGAAAGAGTCGGCAGGGCATCTGGGCTGACCGTGTGGGGCCACACACGGTTCCACACCTGCTGACATCTGCTTAGGACAGCCAAGTTCAGCCACAGCCATCCCTCCCATCAACATCCCCTTACCTGACTGCTCTTCCAACATTCAAATGCTACAGGGAATTCTTCCAAAGACAGCCCAAGCAGACCCTCTTCCAGCCCATCACCTGCAGCGACCCACTAGGGGAGCAACGGATATACCCCAGGCTCTGCAGGGGCTGGGGGCGCACCAGTCCCACGAGGCAGCCGGCTTAATGAGGATAAACAGCCTGGCCCCACAGCCCGGGTTCCAGTCTCACTTCACCACTCTGAGATGGGTAACCACTCTTGCCCCCAGTGCTCACGAGCTGTTTTGGCAAACGAACCCCTTGCACCAGAGGCCATGCATAGGCTCAAGCATCACAGCAAGGCAGGCCTGCAACTTACTGCTGAAGCGCACGGGCTGGGCCACGTTCACTGTGTGGAAGTGTGTGGCGTCGCCTCCTCTGGCCCGCCCCTGCCGTGGATCCACAGCCTCCTTCCCATGGTAAGGACGCGCCTCCCCAATCACTTCTGAAACCACAAGGACAAAAAAAAAAAAAAAAAGTACACTGAGAGCCACATACAAACACAGGCGCATTCCAGCACGTACCAGGTCCTGACTCTGCATGGTTCAGGCTTCTTGGGGGCAGGAAGGACTAGAGGTGGCACAATGGGGGTCTGCTAATGGGGGTTTTCTTCAGATTCCCTAGAAAACACTGTCATTATGGGATGCCGGCACCACAGGCAGAGGCTGTACCTACCACACCATGGTGCTTAGCACTTGTACTTCTCAAACTGTGCCTTGGGATGGCACTGTGGCATAGCAAGGAAAGCTGCCATCTACAGCACCAGTACCCATTTTAGATGCCAGTTCAAGTCCTGGCTTCTCCACAGATGATCCAGCTGAATGCCCCTAGGAAAGCAGTGGAAAATGGCCCAAGTGTTTGAGCCCCTGCACTTCTGAGAAGACCCAAAAGAAACTCCTGGCTCACATCTTCAGATCAGCTCAGCTCCAGGTGCTGCAGCCATTTGGGGAGTGAACCAGCAGACTAAGGATCTCACTTCTCCTCTCTGTAACCCAGTCTTTCAAGTAAAAATAAATACATCCTACATACACACACACACACACACACACACACACACATACACGGCAGAGGAAGGTCCAAGTACCTGGGTCCCTATACTCCATGTGGGAGACAAGGATGGAATTTTGGCTCCTGGCTTCGGGCTGGCCCAGACCTGTTGTTGCAGTCATTTGGGGAGTGTCTTTTTTTCTCATATAAAACCTTAAAGCTATAGAGCTCACATCAGTATTTTCTGATTTGCTGGGTAGGCTAAAGACTCCAAATCCCTCTCCATGTTCCTAGACAGTCCTTGGAGCTTCACACTGAGGGGCCACACAACGTGGTCAGTGGGGTCCTTTAATTACCACAACCCTGAGGTTTCACAACTGCCCATATTTCCTTCCTTATTCTCCCAAAGACTGCACTGAACAACTTGTACACGAGTCTGGGTGTCCCTTACTACCACTCTCAGGCCCAGGGCAAGTCATCCTGGCTCACAGGCAAGGCGCCACTTTCATGGCTGCTGTCACACACGAGTCCCACTAGAAGGCAAGATGTGCCAATGCGTTGTAGCACAAGCCAGCTTGGAGCAGACCTCCAAGGGAGACACTTCTTCAGGCATTCAGAGAATGTACTTTGAGGTATGTTGTGGGCCAAGGAGTTGATTAGCACTTGTTGGAATGGGCAGGATCAGGAACTGGGCTTTTGGCTAAAAACACCTAGACTAATTGGACTCTTTGTATCCAATTTCCTGATTAAATTAGGGTGGGGAGAGTATATAAGGAGAGGTGAAGGAGCAATAGAGAGACTTCAGAGACTTCTACCATCACTGGTCTCCTGTGGGTGCTTCATCCCCAGACCCTCTCCCTGTCCATGTTACTGGCTCTGCTGGTCGGAGCAGGAGGTCACTACCCAGATGGCACCATGGCAACCTTGGTTATGAACACTTTGCATGGTGAGATGGCTGGCACCTGCTGCCGCTCTCTGCCAACACCCAGCACCAGCTCCCTGGGACTGGAGCGTCTTCTGCTACGTCCTGACTACCGCCACCTGCAGCACCCAAGGCGCCACTCAGAACACACTGACATAAGGGTAGCATGACAGTCCACACAAAGACTGCTTGCAGGGAAGCAGGTAGGGAGTGCGGGTCACTGGGACACAGGGTCGGCATGCTTGCTGGAGGCAAGCGCCCAACACTGGGCTGCAGACAGTGGCCTGATCTGAGACCAGAAACCAAGGAGGCAGGAGCGACGCAAGGGCTTCCCGTCAGAGGGGCAAGCTTGGGCAAAGCTTAAGAAACACAAGCCAAGTTGGAAGATAAGCCTGGGTGTGGCCAAGGTGAATTTCACTGCATCGAAATGTAGGTTATGGCTCAAATGAGGAAGACCTGTGATTTCACTCTCTCTCCCCAAGACCTGGCCCAGTATACAGCAAGGCCGCCCACAGCAAGACAAAGTGAAGCTAAGGCAAAGGGAGGGGAGAGAAAAAAGCAGCAGAAACTGCTGTTCAACCACAGGCGGTTTGCGGCAAGCCATCTGCAGTCTCTAGCGGCGGGGGCGGAAGTAAAATATGATAAGAAAATAACCAGAAAGCCCAACAGTGACAGGGCTGCATCTGTGTGCTGAGCTGCTTTTGCCACACTGCAGCTCCACTGGCCATCACAGGCCTTCTCATAGCCATGTTGTCCCTTCTCAACCAAATGTGTGCGTTTACCCCTTATCCACTTGTTTATTCCACTCCCGTCATATGCCCACCAGCAAAAACCAGGCCTTGAAGGGGAATGGCTTGGCCAATTGGATGGTGATGGATAGAGAAGAGGGTTCCCCAAGTCCTAGGGAACAAGTCCTCTTGTAACCATCTCTACATGAAAGATTTCTAGCATCCCATATGGATGCCAGTTCCAGAACCAGGTGCTCCACTTCCAACCAGCTCCCTGCTAACACGCCTTGGAAAGCACTGGAAGATGATTCAAGCAGTAAGCTCCTACACTCTTGTGAAAGACCCAGAAGCCTGACTCTGGCCTGGCCCAGAAAGGGCCACTGTAACCATTTAGAGAATGAATCAACACATGGAAAATCTCAATCTCAGTATCCCTCTCTCTTTTCCTTTCTGTAATTCTGGCTTTCAAATAAACTCATTAAAAAAAAGGGGGGGGGGGGGAACCAACGCAATAGCATAATGGTTCAGGTCCTCGCCTTGAATGCGCTGGGGTCCCATATGGGCACCAGTTCTAATCCCAGCTGTCCTGCTTCCCATCCAGCTCCCTGCTTGTGGCCTGGGAAAGCAGTGGAGGACGGCCCAAATCCTTGGTATCCCGCAACCGTGTGGGAGATCCGAAAGAGCTCCTGGCTCCTGACGTCGGATTGGCTCAGCTCTAGCCGTTGTGGCCATTTGGGGAGTGAACCATCGGATGGAAGATCTTTCTCTCTTTGTGTCCTCCTCTCTGTATATACACCTTTCCAATAAAAATAAACAAATCTTAAAAAAAAAAAAAAGGAGGTTTCCTTCCTCCCAAGCGCAACTTAAGGCATGCAGCGGCCTCAGAATTGCAGGTGCACAGGTGTGTGGGGCTGCCTGCTTCCCTGGCAGAGGACTTCACGCTGGGAGAGCTGGAGGGCCGGGGCCACTGAGGAAGCTGAAAGAGGGTGGGGTCTAAGTGGGCTTGTAACTGCCAAAGGGGAGGAGCAAGGGGACTTGAGCCTCTTTAACACCCACGGTGTCACATCCCTCTCCTCTCACAGAGCAAAACTGGACTGCAGTTGTGGTCAAAACCTCAAGTTTGCTAAGTCAAGGGTACCCACTCATCAATCAGCTCATTAACGGAAAGTTGGATCAGAAATTCAAAGTAGTCAGAACTCAAACTGAACAGGAATTCTGACACAGGAGGCCACTGTCCTGAAAGATGTAACTTCATCTACTGCCCACAATGTTTACTCTTTCGTCTTTCAAATAAAACGACAATAATTAAAAAGAGGAAGCAGGCCTGGCTACTGGCATCTGGGAATAGGACAGCAGATAGGGCCGGGGTTCCAGCTGTCTGCACTGAGAAGCTGTCAATTCCTCACTTTCCAAACTCCATGACCCTGGGGACACTTGTCGTCTCCATATAAGTTCGAGTACTAACAGAAACAGGGCACATGAGGCTGGCACCGAGGCACAAGCCTGTTAAGTTGCAATGTCCATGCCACCATCCTGTGTCTGAGAATGGGTCACACCCCCGCTGCTCTGCTTGGGATCCAGCTCCCTGCTTAGAGGGCTGGGAAGGAAGCAGAGGGTGGCCCAATTAATTAGCTCCCTGCCACCAACATGGAACGCCAGACCAGCCCTGCCCATGGCAGCCATTTGGGGACTAAAATAACAGATGGAAAACTTCAAATTTCCTCTCCTCTCTCCCTCCATCACTCTGCTGTCAAATGAATGAATCTTAAAAATAAATATAATGCATAGCTCATTTTCTTAAGTGAAAAACAAATAGTCACAAGATATTTTAGATTCTTTGTTTCAAATGTTTATCATTTGGTGTGTATATTTTTCATTGTAAATTTGTTTTATTTTTTATATTTACATAGTTGAGAGGGATGTAAGCCCATGTGGAACACCAATTAGGATGGGGAGGGTCGAGGAATGTGAGAAAAGCAGATGACGCAACTGCCTCCAATCTCCTTTTCTCTTCTGGTATCAGGAAAGTGGAGAGAGAAGGGGAGAGGGCTGCTCTCAGCAACCCAACCACATCAGAGCCCAGGAATGGGGGACAGTCACCCGATGTCACCCCAGGGTCCCTGGTGTGGAGCACGTTCTGAGAGTACTGCTTATGTGATTTTGGCAGTTCTGAGGGGCTGTTGGTCACGTTGCTCCAAGGCTGAGGAAATTCTTCCAAGGTCCATCAGCTGACCTAGTCCACCTGAGAGTCTCGATTCACCTAGATACTGGTCTGGGAGAACTGTTCAATTTGTTCTGTCCTCCACAGGCCTCAGTGAATTGGTGTCATATCCTCCATGAGCCTCTGGACATACTGTCCACCTCGTAGGCCTCAGCAACCATGGACACACTGTTCTGCCACATGCATTCCACGGTCACACTACATAGCCTATGATTTTCACCATGGTTGGAGTTCTGAGTCCAGTGATCTAGTTGAGGGGTCCTCCCAAAAACCTCCCCAGAGGTGACCCCAACCTGACACCTGTGTGTGCCAGCCAGTGTGGGGTCTGGCTCAGTTCATCTCACAGCTACAGCTCTAGAGCCATGGCACACAGGGAAGCACCCAGGGACTGCAGGTGACCACCTCCTGCTTGCTTTGGCCCTGCGGTTTTCTCTCTCATGTTCTTTTTCAGTGAAGTAAGCTCCCATGATGAATGTAGAAGATCTAGAACCTATGGTCAAAAGTGCCCTCAAGGAGAACGGCTACGGCTTCCCACAGGATCAAACTTCTCACACGTAGGAAAGTCACAGCCACATCCCCACCATTCA